CCCCAGAATGAGAAACAACTTTAAATCATAATTATTGATGGATAAATAAACTTTTTACACGCTTTGGAAAATCTCAGAAGTTCGCGGTAGTCACTTTTCGGTAAGGAACTAAGGGACTCGGTTATTGTATCGAGTAGGGTTCGAAACGATCGCAAAGGCGGTATACTACGTATACGCGCCAAAAAAAAGTACCAGACACTTATTTGCTAAATTCATTACATTCATTGAATGAACCAAATAAGTTTCTGAGGACAGGGAAGTGGAGCCATGCTTTCTCGGCTCCCCTGGTTCCATTTTTGTTCAGTGGCGTGGCGTGAACAATCGATTATCGATATTTCCCCATATGAAGCTATAGTAAAGAATCGATTATTAAGGTGTTCGTTACGAACACCCTGTTTATCGATTCTTTTTCATAGGTTTAAATGGCAGATCAGTCGATACATCGCAAAGCACGCCACGCCACTGTTTTTGTTATGAACATATCGGTGATGGGTACACGGACTTTATGTCCACTCTTTTTACGTCCACAGACTTTTCGTCCACAATTTTTACGTCCACAGTTCTGAAGCTCACACTATTGTTAAGTCCATTACTTAAACGTCCACTAAGTTAAGTCCACAAATGTAAAGTCCACTAAAATCAAATTCAAGCGTCATATTTTAGTCCGTGTGTAAAATTATACTGACAGTATCGAAATGAGAAAATTAAGAGAGAATGGGGTGTTGTTATCGTAACTCATAGTTTAAATGAAATGTTAGTTTCTTCTTTTGCTTCATCTTTTCAAATTGTTTTTAGTAAATACTTGGCTTCATTTCTATCCTTGAAATTTCGATATGAAATATGCCTTAAATTTACATTCTTTTTTCTTTAATGAAATTGATTACTTCCATTTAAAAACATTTACATTTTTAAAACGTGGTAAATATTTGTAAAACTTTTTCGAAGCAATGGTATCGATATGAATCTCAATGAGCCGTAGTTGTGATGAAAGAAACTATACAAAAATTGATAAAAGAGGAAAAAAACTAAGAAGCACGCAATTTTTTGTTTTTACTTATTTGTACATCGACCTCATTGAGTCAAATACGTCCAATTTTGAGCGTTTAGTTGCGCTTACACCACGCTACAGCACAGTAAAAGCCCGAAACATGAAAAGAATAATTTGAATGCTTTTGAAATCATTAAATTTGACACGGAACCACTATTATATCTACAAAAAACACGTTATATTTTCCAGTAGTACATATTTCTTTTTCATCAGTTTAAAAGGGAATAATCAATGCAGAGAGTGCGCAAACATTTCAAAATCATGAGTTGAAAAACGCTGACTCCGCGAGAACACAGAGCGGAGCGGCGTGTTAGCAGCGCGGAACGCACACTGGCGCCTACAAACCTAACGGGATACTTCACGCGTTGCGCAATGCGTGACGTATTCCGTTAGGTTTGTAGGCGCCTATGCGCGTGTCACGCTGGTTGCCTGCCGCGCCACAACGCTTTAAGCAACTATTTCGCATCAGAGGCGTTGCACAGTATGCTACAAGATTTAAGGCGCACGAAATAACTAGTTAAAGAGGACTTTCAAGTTTGACTGCATCTGTTACTGAAAAATGTTTAATTTGGCATTTGAGCGTTTCCTAGGCTCCCGCTTTGGTTTTCATCTTATCATATCCGTACAGTGTACACATGAACATATGTTTTTATCTGCTCTTAGAGTCTCTCTTCCATGACTTGATTTATGAATGAAATGTTTTTGAGAATAAAGGTAGTAGTAGTATGCATTATTTTTGAGGTGGTTCCTGTCATTTAAATGAGAAGAAAAAAATGTGGACATAACATGTCCACAATTTGGACATATTCATTGTTGGAAATTAAATCATGTGGACTTAATAAAGACTGGACTTAACGTTTAGTGGATATTAATAGCGGAGGACATTTATTTAATGGACGAAAGGTAGGTGGACATAATGTCCTGGAAGCTGGTGATGAAACTATCAAATCACAAATCACAGAAAATCTGATTTTTCGGGAGAGCAAAAAAAGTGTCCACGTTTATTATTTTTCTTTCGAAAGGCGCTAACTTTGATAGATAGTGGTCATTGGGAAGTGTTTGAAACGTTGCACCCACCCTGGGGCCACAAAATTTAGCACTTCGAAACCGCATCTTCAATTTTTGTCAGCGCTTGAGCGTATAATTTTCTCCAACCCAGCCACCGTAGATCTAAATCCAAGCCGTTTACGTCCTGAAAGCGGGTAGGTTTATTCACAAAAGCCAAATGTAGACACGTATCGATTGCGTAGTTCCTTCCAATTGAGATTATACCAACTGGACTAGATATGCTGTTGAAGCCGATCAAACAGGTTTCTTCGATGCAAGCGTTTAACGGTAGAAAAGTAAATTTTCATCGACTTTTGGAAAAATTTACCTCGGCAGATTTAGGCCTCAGGACTACTGACAGTTGTCAGATGAGGACGCATCAGAAACCGAAAGATCGGGAGGGAAATAAGTAAAAGAGAAAGAAAAAAGCAGGGAGCAAGGGAGAAGAAGATGAGGGAAATTAAAACAAAAGTAATAAGTAGGGAAAGAAGAAGAAGAGGAAGAAGAAGAAAAAAGGAGGTTAAGGAGGAAAAGAAGGAAACGAGGAAGGAGGGAGAAGAAGAAGCAGATAAAGCAGAAGAGGAAGGAGCAAATGAAGGAAGGAAGAGGAAATAGGGAGAGGAGGAAGGGGAGGAAGAAGAAAAAGAGGAGGAATTATAGTGAGAATCAAAAAAGGAAGAAGAGGAAGAAGAAAAGGGGAAGGAAGGGAAGAATAAAAGGAGGAGGGAAATAAGAAGAAGAAAAAGAAGAGAGGTTGTAGCGATGATAATAACAGAGATAGGAAAAGAATAATTCAAAGGAAAATAAATAAACAGAAGAGGTAAAAAACGGAAAAAGTGAAAAAAGAGATCGAAGGAAAAAGAAAAAGGAATAATTTCTGTTCCTCATCTTCTTCCCTTTCTCCTCAGTTTCTCTTAAACACTCATCCTCGTCTCCTCTCCCTCTTCTCCGTATTCGACTTCCGGCGCGGATCCAAGAGAGCCCGACTTCCGATCCGTGGGACGAGGGTTACGAAGGCGTCTTCCGGGACAAGGCCCGGGTTCACGTCAAGTTGCTCTTGGATGAGGGTCTCGTTCGAGGCCACTGTGCGCGGCGGCGTCGCTGACGTCCAGGCACCGTTGTTTGGTCGTTCCCGTTCTTATGATACCCATCTAACCGAGCTCGCTCTTGCTCTTGCTAGTTGTAGCGGTGCCCCTGCCTCCCCCCGGCCGGCCCCCCGTCCCCCGCCCGCCTTGCCGTCCCGACGCCCGACGCCCGGTCCCCGCGATCAACAGTATCAGTCAGACCGCCGAGCAGAGACGCTCACCCGACCGACGCCCAAGACACCCATCGCTCACCGCGTCGCGACGACCCCCCCGCAACACCCCGCAACGCCATGCTGTCCCTGTCCTGATCCCGGCCCCCGTTCGACCCCCGTGTTCGTCCCTTCGTCGCGAGTGATTACATGATCCGTCCCTCCGAGCCCCCCTCTCCCTAAGCAGTGCTTTGTGGAAATTCTGTGATCCCACCTTTTGCTCAGGCCAGGACGTTTGTGTTCGTGCGTTAGCTCCGTTGAGGATTTCCGTAGCTGGATACCGGTAAGTAGATCCGGATTTTGTCTCTTCCTATCACGAGCAATGGCAGGAAAATACGGTCATACGAGCCGCGATGTTCTGTGCTTCGGCCGTCACCAGACCAAAACAATGTTGTTTTATCTTCCTGGGTGCTGATGTAGTGCATGGAAACTCTTTTGATGCCCTATTGGATGATCGTGTCAAAAGGAACTGTGCAGACGGAATAAAATAATATTGTAGATTTAACAATTTGCAGTTAAAAAAAGTGCCCGACATGTTACAATGTAGATTTTACAAGAAAAAATCCATCTGTAACAACCCCCATGGTTAAATTAGCTTTCTGCTCTTGTAAAAAGTTCATTTGAAACATGTTGGAGATATTTTTTAACAATTTGTTCTGTCAAATCAGCAATTTATTTTTTCCGCGCACGAATGCATTGATTCAAAAGAATCACGAAACACAAAAAGCACTTGTGCATAGGTTGCAACATAGATGTATGGGGCCTTTTGACATAAATTGTAAATCCTGAGAAAAATACAGTACCGAGAAACGTTGGAAGTTGATTCTGCATCCGGTATAGGTTACAGTGCCCATACTTTTTTAACATCCAGGATGTTAAATCGACATTATTTTTCAACTGAACTAGTTTGCGTAAACGATCCCTCAAACTAGACCAGCGGAAGTTCAGTGATATGAAACGAATATTCAAACCGACACGATGTACACTGAAAAAAAGATTGGTAGAATTTACTATTCCCTCACGCTGTAATTCACACCGCGTCAATTCAGGGTCAATTCTGCCAGATGAAAGGTAAACGTTACTACATACTGGTACAGGTAACCATTCCTCTGGCAGAATCGACTTTGCATTCACGCTGTGTATAAAATACAGCGTGAAGGAATGGTAAATTCTACCAATTTTTTTTTGTTCAGTGTACCGTGGTATTGCTCAATATTATGATCAAATCTTTTCCCCTCAGAATAGCGTGTGCCTCACAAAAAGAAAGCGGATGTCTGAAAGTGGTGGAAGTTTGACGGGTCGTTTTGCAATTAAAAATTCAGCAAATTTCCGTCCGATCACGGAGAGAATTCATACTTTCAGAGGAAAATTTTCAACCTTTCTTATATGAATAAATGATTAATAAAAGAAACTTTGCAATAATGCAATGTCATTAAATCCCTTCGGCACTGAATCCTCCAAATGAAGTACACTTTTAGATAATTTTACATCAAAATTTCACACCGAGTACCATACATCGATGGTTTTCGCATAAAAGAACAAGATATGTTAGGATTTCTAACCGTAATAGGACAAGATAGGGATTATGCGTAGAGATTTTGTGTTATTACAGAAAAAAAAGAAAACCCTGTTATCCTTGTCTTTGCAGTCTTTTGTTGCTCGTTACCAAACTTCGTAATGCTATGTCAATAACGAACATTTCTGCTGATTCACTAGGAAGGAATTACGTCACATAAAGATCAAACTAATAAAGGAAAAAAATATTGAAATTTTTAATTCAGTAAGCCTTTATGTTACAGACGAAATGCAACGCCTACTTTACATTTGGATATTATTTCTAAATTTTGAAATTACCAATGCGGGGGACAATGTGCAGTTAGTCAAGCTCAAAACTACGCCTAGTTTCCCCCAAAAATTTGACTTTTTCCCTCTCTGTTTCATTCCGTCTATTTGCTTAACACCTCTAAAAATTCAAACTGCATGCTCCCAAAATTTTTAATACATTAGCTGTAAGAAAATAATGGTTCAACCTAAACTTAAACTGCTATACATCACCGTCAAAGAGAAGAGAAAACTAGGTGCATAGAGAAAGATACTTCAGATTAGCCAATTTTTACATGTCAGGCGAGGAGAAACCGGCACTTGAATATTTGCTGGAGACATGCTATTGAATTTCAAAGAGTAAATTACACGCTTTTTAGTTCATTTTCTTGACATCAGAGGGTGTTAATTTAGCCCAACGATCAGAAGCCTTGAAAGAACAAATTTAAACCTTGAATGATTGTCCCTCAAAACTACGTTCTTTAAGCTGCCAACCTTAAACCACCGTAACCCACGTCTAGTATTCAATATTTTTGAGAGTTTTAATTTGGCCTTAATTGCTGTAAAACATTTCACTAAAATGTAATACAACATCTTTTTGCGAGTATGAAAGTCTCTTTTCTTGCGAGCAGTTACAAGTAAGGCAGGATTCGCAATTTTCCCGTCCATTAGGTTTTGCATTCCAATTTTTATTTTTCACTGTGCGTCGTATTGAACGGTTTATGAAATCTAGTAGGCACAGAAAAAGGGTCATAACTCTCGTAATTTACCACCATGTGGCAATAATTGCCCTGGTTGCTTCTCTGTATAAAAGACCATCAGTGACTTTCACAGATGATAAAGAGATAGGCAGGAAAATAAAATTTCATCTCTCGTGTTTTGCGGCTGACGCGTACCTTCTACAAATGAAATGGTAAATTTGTTCGGTAAATTCTCTCCGGTTGGTAAGAGGATATTCAAGGTTCAGGAAGGAGTTAAAACTCATTAAATTTCGCTGAAAATGTAGAGGAGCTTAGATCACCTCCCGGTTCCCTGTAGACAGCACGGTCTCAAGGTTTTAATTATTGCAGTTCGATCTAAATATAGTAGTTTTCTCAAATTGGATAATGGACAATTGAACAAACATTTTTTTCTATTTCAACTTTTTAGAAAAACTTTAATTTCACTTGAGGTTTGTAAAATTTCGCCTACTTTCATAATCTTGGAAACGTTTGTTTGAAAAAAAAGAGAGTGCTTGCTGAAAGTTGAAAATTTCCGTCTCTTATTTCGGTTCGCTCCTCTTCAGAGTAAACTGATTCCAATAAAATTTACAATTCTCGAAATTCAGTCATCTGAAATTACGGCCTTGTCGCGGATTTAAAGTTAGGCCTAGTATTAATATTCATTACAGACCGTCAGATATTTACACGGAAAAAATTAAATTGCTGATTTAACAATTTAATTGCTAAAAAAAGTGACTGCAACGTTTCAACGTAGATATGAAAACAAAAAAATGCTACTTTAACTACTATTGTAAGCTAATTTAACCATGACGGTGGTTAAATCAGCATTTTTGTGTTGTAAAATCTACATTGAAACATTGCAGTCACTTTTTTTAGCAATTAAATTGTTAAGTCAGCAATTTAATTTTTTCCGTGTAACTCACCAACATCCTATTCAATGCGAAACGTGCAGTTCCCATTGTAGGGATGAAATTATGAGAGGCGCTTCATCGATGGCGTGCGAAATTAAGGTTGTGTAGACATTGTACTGGAAAAAAAGAGCTTTCAAAGAGATAATCTAACAACCTAAAAAGATAGATTGACCAATGCAGTTGAACACACGAGTGGGTCTTCATGGGTATGAAAAAGGCACGGAGACTTGAACGCAACGTTAGAAAAAATGACCAATTTCGCATGACCCCTTTAATATCTTAGCGGTCGCATAAGAGGGACCACTTTAACCAATGCTGGGATGGGCATCAACCTGAAGAAGATTGCACCAATATGTTGCCGTGCTAAGGAAAAACGCCGTAAGAGTTTTCAGATATTGCCATATTTCCTTCAATAAACAATTAATTGCTGGGAAAATTCTGAATATTTTTCCTCCCATTTTTAGGAAATTTTGTTTACAATTTAACGCATAACATCTGAAAATTTCGAGGGAAAATATAAATAACTTTCTTCATAAGTACAAATTTTATCGGGGGAGATTTGACAACGTTTGAGGGCTCATACGGAGTTTTTCCATAGGACGGTAAAATAGAGGACGTTCGTTTCGCGACGATGGCGGAGGTTTTGAACACAGTGTTAAAATCTCTCTGAATTTATTTCGCAGATAGAATTTTGCGCAAGGGTTGGATGGAACTACTCCTTTTACAAAATATTCACCTCTGCCGCAGTATAGTTTTTGAATCGGAAAGCTTAAAAAACGCATATTTCTTACGCAGATAGTGAAGTTAGGAGTGCATTCAAGACTTTTTCCATACATTCATCGTGATTTTTAAGCCATTATTAATAAGAGACTCCTTTTTGCTCTTGCTGAGGTTTCCAACAGGCCCATAATGACTCACACGATTGGCGAAAAACAATCAAAGCTCCTTGCAGTGTAATAAAATTAAGATATCTAAGTGCAATTTTTTTTAAATAATAAATGAAAGGGAAATTTTACAAGTAGCCCCTTATTTTTTAAAAAAAATTTCGGTTCCTTTTCTGCTCAGCTCAGTCTGAATATCCTTGCAGCTGTTTTGCACTACAGTTTCTATGATCTCCAGGAACATATTAATTTTGGCGAGCCCTGTTGGTTCCGAGGGGAGGGGCGCGATGGGAGAGCGCTCGCTTCTCTTCCTCTTCGTGGTTCTATTCCTCTCCGAGGCAGATCTTACGCTACAAGGATAGCAGAGCTTACGGCTCGTTGGGAACAAGGCTTAAGGGTTATTACCTCTTACTTAATGGAAACCAACGGTTGAAGCTCTAAACAGCCGAGGCAGCGGTCATAATGGCTGGGGAACCAAGCGACGGGCTCGTGGAAACCGCAAGTCCTCCATTAAATTATTTTCTGAAAATACCTCTACTTCTCCGAGGAAATTCACGATACCTCCCCTCTCGGAAACACGCACGACATCCGATCCCATCGCTGCCGAACTGCACCATCTTGTCGGCAGGGTCAGCTAAAGCGAATTTTATTCAGAGATTTGTTACTACTTTTGCGCCCGAACATCCGAGCTGCCATTTTATTCGAGTGCGAAACTTCCGATTCGGTGTCTAACGAATCGCAACGTTGGTGCGTGATTTTGGTACCACCTCGCGAGGTGGTTCTAAAAAAGGTTGGTCTAAAAAAACCTAACCTAACCTATCGAGAACGAACGGATCTGGTAACAACGGTGTCCACTGGTGTTGGGACAGAACTTCTCAAAGAGGTTCGGAACAGGAACACTAAATAAAATTCGTTTCTAGAGGGAGGAACTTGTTTGTACCTCCTCTC